TCTGTTGCGAGGAAACAAAAATTCAGATTATTGTGAAGGAATTTTGGCACAAAGGATTTGCGGTTCAAAATCTTTCGTGTTCTCTTTTATTGGATTACCTTGCCAAAAAAACACTCTTAGAATATTTATTCAATACTAACTATCCAAATTAAACTTTAGATCTTCACATTGTTTGTTATTTATCAATGAGCACAACTACAAGATGAATAATAATAATAATAATTTCAATAGTTGAAATCATGAGTCAATCGAAGCTAAACTAACATGGAAAACATGGAGGCACTGGACGGCCATTTTTTCCAGTATGCGACTCCTCAGCGGTGCGCATCCACGATCATACCCCCTGCGAGATTCGAACCCAAGGACCTATCAGTCTGGCGCGCGAGCGCTTAAACATTAGACCAGTGAACCGGAATCCAACGCTGTTAATGTCTAACTTCAACAGATCCACGGAATTGCGCATCGCCGAGGAGTCCCTTACTGGGACGGAACGGCCTTCCAGTGCTTCCAGGTTTTCCATGGTTGTTTAGCTTCAATTGATTCATGATTTCAACTATTGAAATTACTAAACTCCCCACAAAACTCCTTCTGATAATAATAATAATAATAGTTGTCTTTATTTTAGTGTAACTGTGTTTCCTTGTTTGTTTTTTAGGTAACATATGATTTAGATGCTTAAAGTAACAAAATGTATGGTACTACATTTAAAATTGCAATTGAAATTAAATAAGTTTTCTCTCACAACGAAATGCTCATAGTCAATACAAAACATGAGTATTCGAATACTCAGTATGTAAATTCAACATTCATAATTTCCATATATTCCATATTAGTTTTCTTTTTAACTCAATATTGAACAGAAATGTAACAGCTAATTTTCAATAATTATCATTTCGTCTGAATCCCTTCCCATTTTTTTTACTACATTTTCAATAAAACTTCCGAATAAACAATTGTATTTTATGTCTTAAATTGATCGGTGACAAGGTAGTTGTTTATTCTTATATTTTATAATAAAATTTATATTCCCTTGTTTGTTCTACATTTTTTTTGGCTTTTTGAAAGAAACAATATGTTATGCTCCCTTAGTGTCTATTATTTGCTTTAGTAATTATCTACAAACAAATGAATGATGGTTAGAATGTCTGAAACAATGTTTTTAATATTAAAAAAATAACATAATTTATTTAGATTCACTTGGTGTTGTTTTAATAGTATCTTTCCATTGTTGTTGTATTTAAAACTGCAATTGATCAGTCTTATGTCGGTATATATGTGTATTCTGAGCAGATTGAGTCTATATAGCCTTAAGTCACAAACTTCTTAAGCAAAGATAGATAGTGGCTAACAATAGAATCCAGGACGCATGTTTCGTCCCATTTGGAACTCGTCAGTTGGATGTACCTGCATCGCAGAGTGATGCTCACTCCGGGACTCGAAGCCAGTATTATTCGCTTCAAACGCCATCACGATAGTCACTTAGCTACTGATTTCTGATGGCCACCTGATTGTGCAATGGGGTGAAGTTTAAATTCAATTGGTATTGTTTTACTTGTATCTTCCGATCGTTATTTAGGACTGCAATTGATCAGTCTCATGTTGGCATATGTGCATCCTGTTCAGATGGCCTCGATATAGCCTTAAGTCATAAGCATTTTAAGCAAAGACGGAAAGTGGCTAGCAGTGGAATCCAGAACGCGCATCCTAAATAAACAATACTGTCACTAAGTATGATTGTCTGACAAATGATCACAATGTTGAGTTTTGCTTGGAACTATTGTTTCTAGGTCACTGGCTACCATACAGGCTCACGCTGATTTAAACACGTAAATCTAAGTAAGATAGGTTGGTTACAAAATTGCAATATCTGACAATCATACTGACTAAAAAATATAATCTGAAGAATATAAAGTAAATGTTTGGATGGTGCTGGAAGTTAAAACGAATTGTAAATTCATTGAATAGTTATACTTTTAGAAAATCAAAATGCTTTGGATTATACATGTTTTAATATTTCTCAGAAGATATCTTGATCTTTTGGTTTCAAAAAGATAGAGCTAGTGGCCTTTTCCACTGACTGATCAAACCCTTTAAGAACACGAGTTTTTTCTAAGTCTGTCATATATATATCGAAATCACCTGTCTTGATAAGCTGTCAAAGTATGCAGAGACTATCAGTACAAAGATTATTATAATTTTTCATAACAAAAACCGACCTACGTTATACACACATAGACACCTAAAATCACTTGATTTGTTTCGTCCCGTATGGAAGGTCTCATCAGTGAGGTTCCCAAATCCCGACACATATGATCAGATACAGCACCTTACGTCTAGTGCACTGCTGTCTAGCCCTTAGATCACTGAGGTGAAATCAAACAGTGTATATGTCTAACTTCAACCTTATCGCGTCACCAACTTTGATCGTATTTAATGAGTAACTGTCTAATACACGCAACTGTTCAATTCAACTGGCAATGACTTTAGTGTTATCTGGTTCCAAATGATTATCTAACTTGGATGGGTTCACGAAAAAAATTAGATGGGAAAACGATTCACCCATATAATCTGTCAGCCGAATTCGTACAGTACATCGTTGAATAGCCCTACCAACAACTTCAGCACTCAGTTATACTCAGTATACATGAAACTAAGATACTTCTAATTACACAATCGAAATAGTCAAGGTTAATTGATAGCATGTAATTTCAATAGACGTTGTCATCCGACATAATGATGTGTGAAGAGAAACATAACATTATTACAGAAATGTTTCAGTAGTACTCGTTAAAAGAAACAGAACAAAACCACCGCCACATGTACTGTAACGAATTTTTTATGTGACATACGAGTAAGAATGAAATATCCTTGTTTAGGAAGCCTCTATGTAGTAGTTACACTAAGATACGGCAAGCACGATCAGTCCAGCAGGGGACTCAGCTAACGAACAGTTAAAAGCTACCATGAAACTTGATGTCCACCCTGTTGCTATAAAACTTCACGTCAAAACCCCGACTCAAAAACCCATCAATGCACCTGTCCATGGTAAGCAATTGATCGACGACCATTGGTTGTATTTGATCTTGACTAGGAACGGCAATTTGTGAGATATTCGGTGAACTGTTTGCTAAATGGTCTTTTTGGGATTCAGAGGCGTTTCATCAGCCCCTCACAGCAAACCAGGCACATGTATGCATCAGTTCAAGTTGCCATAACTCATTAGCACAACACGATGAACACCAAATAACTAGTAGTTGCTTCAATAGTAGTAATATGTTAAGATTTCATATAAGGATATAAACTTGTGATTTAAGTGACCACCATCTTAGGACAGGCACTCACGCATAGCCAGTACAAAACAATTTTCCGACAGCTGTTAAATTAGCTGGACAATGGCACGTATATGGCCCAAGTGCTTTAACCAAATGCTGTGAACGACACTGAACTGTTTACCAATACAAATCGACTTACACTACCATGTAGCAAAACCTTTTGATACCCACAGGAGCAGATTTAAGCCTCAACTCTTATGATAATCACTTCGAAACCCTTCTAAAGGATGTGAAAGCTGTTTAAGAATGGTTGGCTTACAAATGAGCTAGATGTATTAAGTTTACAGCAGTTCGGAGGATCCAGTAATGTCCAAACGTGACAGGAGGCAAACGATAATCACCCAGTGCGATTGTGTGTTACTATTCAAACAGCTGAATATATCCAATTCGATAGCAACCGCAGTTATTACACCAACAATATTGTCACACATATTATGTGCCAATGCAGTCTATGATAATAGGTGTGTAATAAACCAACATGCTTCTGACTGCATTGAAGTAATCCCTTGCACAAGTTTTGTCCAACTACCGTAAAAGTTATGAACGTCGAGCCCGTGGCCCAGCCATGACAAAATACCAGACTGGTACCAACGCGTCGGCTCATTTGACACCGAACACTCAAATACCCTTTCCTAAATATGGCAGTCCGCGTCTGGAAGGAATGAGGCTTAAACTGAGGGAAGAAAATTCATAAAACGAGCGTTATGAGAACGACACACACCATCCACAAAACACAGGTCTTCCACATTATCTTTAATCCATACTACAAACTGGAGCTCTTACAAAGAGTAACTACTGCTCCCTATACAACTCATAAGTTACAGCTAAATCCGACAGATTGCAAATCAGTCTAGTATTGGGTTGAGTCCAATCCAATAAATGCAGACTAATAAACACTTACTTCACCGTCTTTATAAAACTTATTTTATGGCATACATTTGTTTCGGGATAATATATTTCTCAGTCCCTATTTTCACGTTCATTGAGACGTTACACTCACTTCGATTCTTCTTCCTCCACTTTGCATCACAAGTTAGACAGACTTGGGGAATGTTACTGAACGAAGTATTTGGCACTGAAACAAAGGACTTTATCGACGTGTATTCCTCTGGAAATACAAATAACCAGCTGCCCCATACTCAGTTTACTTCAATAAACCTTACCTGACTATTGAAATAAATTGCTGTACACCAGTTATCCCTCAAGAAAAAACATGACATGCTAGGAATAAGACTAACCCATAAATCCGGACCAAACAAGACACCCACACAGCAAAGCACCTGATTGCCAAACATATTTACATATCATACTAAAGACATTGCATCTAAAAGTTGGATCAGTCCATCTTTGTGAAAGCAACATATTACTAGATGTTAATGGTACACTCTGTTCAGACCTTAAGTCTTGTGAGTATCTGAGTGTATATAACCCAGAACTATGAGTACGGCAATAAGATGCGAATACAGATTGTACACATTATATAACTTCTACCACTACAGCTTATTAAGCTAAGCAAGCACCTGCCAGTGTAACATTGCAACTTAACTATACACGGAGCGTCAGACGCCACGTGGTGATCGGCGAAATTACTTGAGTAAGACAGACCTTCATATATAGAATTTTCCTTAGCGCTCGTGTCCCAACCAAGACAATCAGAACAATGGAAAATATGTGGAAATAAAATTATTCTGATAATATATATAAACTTATGTACAATAATCTGATATTATTTACGAAATACAACCGTCACTGAAGAATTTAATGCCACATTGTAGGAACTCACATCCAGATGAACGATGAAGTAGCAGCATCGATTCATGGTGACTGTGAACACATAAGACTCCAAACCACCTTCGCATCGATTTTTTCTATCGGCTCCAAACTGGATTCTGGTAGAGTAAATTCTTTACAAATAAAATCTTTACATAAAGCAGTAGAGGAAAACCCGATTAATTTTGATATAAACGAAAGACTTATTGTAGGACGGAAACTAAAAGTGGGGATATTTCGTAGGAAATGGGTTTGAAAGATCAGAAAAAAGATCATAATTGAAATAAGCAATTAACATTAGCAAGTGTAGTGGAAGAATCCATATTGAAAACAAACGAATACGTTGAGGGCATCAAGCGAAATTCACGTAAACGATATTTGCAGATAGTAGTAAATAGAAAAAAATTCAGAATTATCAGTATGCAAAATTAAAACATAAACATGAACTGAATACGTAAAAAGATTACAAAGCCGTATACCTTAAAGATTTATGATTTTGAAGGAAGCACAAAAATCTGTTAAGAAAAAATTTAATTACAAAAATTAAGTGCATATACGTATACTTAAGTAGAAAGCATCGAATCAAAATTAACAAGAAACAGACTTCTCCGATAGCAAATGAAGTACAAGAAGAGAGAAAGCGGAACGTGTCCATGAAATTAATTTTTCATTAAAAAGTAAACTACCACAACTTACAAACATACTAGGACGGATAAATATGATATAGGCACAAAAAATATACTAAAACACATAACGTTAAACATTAATCTGACTAATATTAAGTAATCGTCAACATTTGAGGGCACAAAAGTTAGATTAGATGTCAAAGGCTAACTGAGTATACATATTGATGATTACTGCAAAGGAAAAAAATAAGCCTATCGTTCTAATAGACACAAAGAACTTAAATATTAATGAGCTTACGCGTTCAACGCATCTGTCAGTTAGTGAGCTACAACACATCCGACTTTTAAAATTAATGAAGTGGCATGATTTAGTGGTGAAAGAAAATTCGTAAAATTCCAAATATTTGTTACATAAAATGTCCTAATAGAGTTGCTTTTTTAAAAAAAAAACATACGTGGACAGTTTTGGTGTTCAATATTTGTGCAGTTTTAGTACGATCTCGCTACGTAAGGAAACACTTTCGATTGGAACTTTATCAAGATTACAACATTGACTATTAGTCAGTCAGTCAGCTACAACGTACGATCAGGTACATATATGTATCTGTCCAAGTTACCACACCTTATTAGCACAAGATGAACACTAGACTCACAGAAATAGTTACTTCAATGGTAGTAATATATAAAAGAAAGATTTTATATAATTGTATGATACAGGGAGAAAGAATCAGTTTGTAGAAAGAAAGGTATAAAGCAATTTTAATCTCATGGTTTAAGGGAAGACAAAGAGTGTATACACCCACGCCTTTGTGATCGATTCTGAGCCATGTCATCCAGAGTCTCCAACCATTGGTTACGAGATCTGGGTGACTATTAAGCCAATGATCATTTCAAAACTGTTTACCCTAAATAGAAACCATATTTAAGGCGCTGAATTTTGTAATGACTGAGATCTTGCAATCGGTTCAAGTAGAAGAAATATTACCAGCATCACATAAACTATAATTATCTTGTGTTGTGATGATGACTACTGTCATAGTTCTTCCTAGTATCAGTCAAAATTAATTAATAGCAGTAGTTATAATAAAATCAACTAGCTAGTGATAATGAAACAATATTTGTGATAAGTGAAAAAACAGTCCATTCCCTGAACGATCATAAACAAACTTAGATGATTAAGTATAGCTTTTTCTTTCTTTTAACGCTAGAAACAATCTTACCATTAGTAACCCTAATAATACCACCTACAAGTTATAAAACTATTATTACAAATCACAACACAACGTACACCTTAAACATTAGTCTGATAGCCTCTTTTCTTTCACGATCAACAAACCAGTTTACAACATGTTTGCACCGTAAGGGAGGTTGTTGATCATCATTAGATGGACAAAGAAGTTTGAAGAAACGGTGATAATTACTCAACGACCACGCTGACCGGAGTTTTAAAGCAAATGAAACACATGGATTAGTTTTGTGAGTTGGACGTAAACCAGCCATGATAGTATTGATACCTAGTGAAATAAAGAAAGATTTGGTCATATTCCAATTCAGTAATACAAATAAGACATTCAAATAATGAGGTGAAAGACATGAACGGATCTCCAACAGATAAATCATTTTAGCAGCTAGTGCTAGCAAGTGAAAGCCGTACAAATACGGTATTTTGCTAGACTGATTCACATTATGTGCTTCTCTAGTTTAACGAGTGTCACAAATCAACTGTCTTACATTCTGGTACTATGAATCTTCACATTTTCAGTTAGAAATAACAAATTGATCTTACATCTAAATCATATTCACATCAGTGAAGCTATTGAATGTTGTAGACGGAAAAAGAAAGAGATCATAGGGGCCAATTTCCAGATGCACACAACTACTGATATTTGACTCACGATACAATAAATGAAAAGAGAAGTACCATTAGAAGTCTGCGGTCAAAGGCTAAATAATAACACCATCTCCATGGGGCTATAGTTTATTGGGTTAACGACTAAAAGTGAATCAGTGATCGCACGTTTACTCTATCTAACGTAGTTTTATTGGTCAAGTAATATATCCAATACAGATAATGAACACCTCTTTCCACTCCTGAGTCAGTAGATATTAATAAAAAAACAACCAACTGATCGCACAGAAAGAAAATATTAAGAATGATGTTAATTTAGGGACAATCAGACACCTGGTCAATCAGGATAAAGAACCTATAAGAAGTACTTTTTAAAAGAAAATATCCTTGATGACTTTCAAACTTAAAATGGAAATAGCTACTGAGGCTACTAATAAGATGCCACGAAACGCAGAGCCTCTGAAAGTGAAAAGCTAAGCTCAAGTAGAATAATAAAGCAATTTTCGGAGTGCGATTAACTTACCTAAAATATCGAGAGTGAAGATGTAATAAAGAAGTCTGTAGGCAGTAAATTCTAGCAGTCTACTAACACCTAAGCCTTCTTTATGGAGACGAAGCAACTGACTTTGACATTGATGAAATTCTTCAAAATCCCCAGCTTCTAAGGCTACATCTGCATGTGCTTCATAAACTGATACTGCAAAATCATCTTCGATACCTTGTACCTAAAATGATTTAACAATATGTTGGAAATTCATTAAAAAAACACTACATAAAACACGTTTCCTACGTAAAAGACAGTAACGACGAAGTGGAGTCTTTAATTGTAAAAACACTTATCTATCAAACATTAGGTCACAGATTTTAACATCATCACTTTGAGTTTCGTTTAGGAAGCTGAGTATTGTCGCTAACTCACATGAATAAAGTGTGGTTGGAAAACAACTACATGAACCTGTACTTCATGAGTCACATAATAAAGAATGAAATCTAGATATTTTTTGTATAGTAATAACGTACAGCAATACATCCAATAAATGACTAAAAACATTAGGCGACATGGATAAATGTAATATGAAAACTTGGGTACAACCTAATCTTCCCTCTCAATATGTTCAATAGCTTATATTTAAAGACATTGATGAAAAAATAAGAAGTGATAATCAATCTCGTCATAAAATTCAGTGAGTTAGCTATTTTTAACTATGATCAAGAAAATAGATGGATAAATCTAGAGCACATATATGGTAATAATCTGTCAAGTTTCAAACGAACCAACTGACAATGATGAAGAAACAAAATCTCATTCACCCTCATGTTATCGTAAAATTTGTTTCTTAAATTAACTATTCAGATAAACGAAGTTGTTGGTTTATTTGCTTATAACATAAGCTTAAGATACTAAAACATACAGGTTCTTAAGAATCATCTAACATCGAATGCGTGCAAAAACACAAGGAACTTTCTCTCATATGCACACAATGTTGTTCAGAAAGTCATGCATTATAACACCGACTGTATCCAATAAATAAATTATTTATGTACTGTGTGTTATCCAAAGCATCGTGTAGGGATAAATGGATGCCAGAGGCAAACTGAGTCACCTCAATCAGATAGATATCAGAAGACTGGATGAGAGCGGACATGTCTTAGTTTTTGCGATAAATTAGAAATATAGTAGTTACTTCCAATTACTTTGGACTTCAGCCCCTTTAATATGATAACAATAAACGCAATGTAACAACAGTACGACTTACAGTTAAGTCTTGACGTATACTTTTGAACTGCTCACACACCCAGTGATAATCAGTATTTGAACGCCACTTTTCTTTGACGTGCTCCAAAGAAAGCTTCAAAATTGCTAAGGGTCGCACTTCTGTAGGATTTGGGGCCTGAAAGTAATGGAGAAAGTAATCTTACAACCAGTGAATTACTATAAAATTGATTTACCGGAAGAATCAATGACTACAAATACGGTAAGTCAGTTGCTCACTCAAGTGTGCATACGCATATGTTGAGAGTTGACATAAACTGAAGCAAGCAACCTCTACTTAACCCCTGGTTACACAAGTGACTTATTACAGTTGATAGCAATAAATAAAGCTAATAGCACCTAGGACTCAGTCGCGTATACATAAACCATTACCAAACAAATTTTCGTGATGAAGATTTCCTAGAGGTGATTCGTGATTGAAGCGGTTCAATAGTAACAAACTGTGGAACTCAGTGAGTCGAGTTAGACACTACATCAGTTTTTTTAAGACTGTAGGTATTCTTTGTTGACGAGTCTCAACTGGCTAGAAACGTGAGTGCAAAGTTTTCTGCTACTTTAAACCACCTCAACTCAAAATATAGAGCATGTGATGCCGAGTCACTTAGGTTAACGACAACATCGAAACCTGATTGGACAAATGTGATAATGGTTACTACCTATTTAATAATATTATAACGGTACCTCGAGAGCACCTAAGTTTCTGTCAAAAGTTCGTAATCAACCTTATACATAAATATAACTTAATGAAAATTATGTGGAACGGATAAAATGTGCGGGATAGTGTACAACACTGGTTTGAAGTTTGTGTTGTTGTTTATGAAAACATTGAAAGCTTTATGACCAAACCATCCAGTGCACATAATGCACCACAACAATTATACCCTTGAGCTACAAACATAAATGTACATGAATAGGGACCTCAGTGAGTATTCTGCTAACAAGTACATATAAAAATGAGCAACTAGTTCGTTGACGCATACACAGGAAATTATGATACACCATAATTACAGAAAATTATATATTTTTTTTACAGATAACTGGTAAAAGATAAAGTTTATAACTAAAGGGTAACTGAAAAAACACTACGGAATATACTTAACACAGTCGATGGTACTGACAAAACTTACTCGAGTCAGTCTTAAGTATTGTTTTTCTATTTCTTGCATGGTACCAATGATTTGACAGCTACCAAAATCAACAGCTAGATCATCACGTTCGTCAGTGTAATTCGAAAGCAACTGACTGGTGGTTCGTCCAATGGAACCTGATCCAATAGGTGACTGCACTAGATGATCTTTAAATCTACTGGCTCGTTGTGTAAGGCGAGATTCGCTTGGAGGAGTATGCTTTGAAATATTTCCACGTTTACCACGCCAGCTGCCACGTCCACGACCCCTTACAGCTGTCCCATCTTCATTAGAGGTATTTGCGTCCGTACTTGTGTCGGCGTTCGAAGCACCACCGCGTCTCCGCCGTCTACCTTTGGAATTACCCCTGGTGGTTAATTGCGGTGTACTAAAAGATGAGAGTGAACATTTATGAAGGCTACCATAAAATAGCGAACATAGATAAGAGGAATATGCAATGACTAGTATGAGATCTTAATAAATATTTTGAAGGGATTAGTACAAAGCATATCAAAGCACTAGATCGGTTTAAGTAGAAAAGAAAACTTCGACCGTTTGATACTGACGGTGCAAGCTAAACTTTCTACAGTTGATATGCTTAAAAAAAATGCTTGATGTTATATCCTAATTCCTGACCATAAGGTTGCAAGCAATAGAGGCGACATATTGCAAAATGAAAGCTATAGTCAAGTCTGACAACTTTGATTTATACTTCATACGACCTGGTAATAAGTCGCTTATTCATCTCATCTAAATGTGTCAGTTCGGTAACTTAATTGCACTCCAAGTTCATTTCATATTACTACATAAAGTTGTTCCTTGTTAATTTCTGACTTCTGTATGGAACATCAAGTCAACCTGAATGTCCTGTATTCTTTATTAGCGTGTGAACTACTAACTTTGAAGCGTTGTGTGACGGGCATTCCATTTATCAAATTACCTATTCGTTGCGTCGTATTAGAATCATCGTAAATAGAATTTACCGAAGGCCAGCCGGAAACCCCAACAAACATGATTGTTTTTATTAGAATTTGACAGAAGAGAAAAAGAATACCACGTCGGTGACTGCTTCCAAGTGGAATTCGATTGCCTATACGTTCTAAATACAACTAACGATAAATAAATGATTCCATATATTAAACGGATCTGAAAGCTGATTAAAAACTCCTAGAAAATCCAAGGGCTTCAGTACTTATTAAGTTATATTGAAACACCTGCTTATGTTCAAGTGAACTTAAAAGGAGCACGATGTAAAATGTGAAAGGATGTGGAAAACTGTTAATTGAATTTAAAATGGAGAGGAAAATAGACACATTCATTGTTTTGAATAGTCTAAAATCACTAGTTTTCTCTTGTAGATTCTATAATTCTCTATAGGCCTTATATTAACAGTCAAAATTTCATAGATGTCATCTATTGAGATTAAATACACAATTTCTAACTACCAGAAATATTTAATAAGAATGTCAGAGTTAGATACTTTCGAAGATTGAATTAAGATATACAGAATGCATGGACTTGTAAATAACTTTAATAAGGTTTTAGGGGAACGCAGATGTTTGAATCTTTAGGCAAAATGAGAATAATAATATCAAAGTGCCTTACAACCATTTAGAACTACCCACACGTTTTTCTGTTTGAAATATTTAATCCTAACATTTTTTAAAACATAGTTTTACATTCACATAAACCTATTAACAATTTAATAACCTATATCAACTTGGACGTACATGACAAGAATGGAGTAAAATACGTTTTATAGTCTGCAAAGTCTTCCTGACTGGTCCAAGTTGAACATTTTCTCAACTCAAGCCTTTAATAGGTCGCAACTCAACATTTCGAAATAAATAATATACTCGATTACCACTCATTGGATCAACTATCCAAGGCTAACGAGAACAAACACCAAAGAAGGCTATGAGAAAGTACCAGTCTCGACTAACCAGTGGACTATCAAGAACATTTATAACACTGAAAATATGCTAGAATTCAGTTTCCACTGGAGTCTGAACTCAATGCAAGTGACAATTTATGGAACTTATTCTTACTTTTCCCTTTACATGAATATTTTTATGCTTAGACATAGTGAACAGTATCACCACACAAATGTAAGCTGATTTGTTTGCTCACAGCAACTTTCTCAAAAAATGGTTTAGAACCCATTAGATACATTGGTGTGAACAAAATGCATACAGTAAAACCAAAATATGGAAATCACTGGCACACCTTTTCTGAGAATCCTTTACATCATTCGTTTTTCTCTGTGCATGCCGAGAACCAGAGCGCGACCGAGAATCCCGACGCCGATGGCGTTTTGTCCTGAAACTACTTGAGGATGAAGAATGAGGGGAGCCACGTGATTTTGAAGATGAACTAGACCTGGATCTATATAAACGCTTTCTCTGCCAATCTTTTAGAGGTTTGGAAACAGGAGAACGACTAGGTGAGCGAGATTTCGATGGCAACTTTTTGGATGGTGATATACTCTTAACAACTGAAGGCGAAAACACATTGCGGCCACCTCTCGACAAAAGCCCAACAGGAAGACGTGCAGGAGCTCCCCTTGATGGACCCGTTGGGCGAAGTCCACGAGGACTGGGAAGTTGAACAGGTCGCACGACACTAAACGATTTCATTCAAAAATGTAAATATCTAATTAGTCACAGTTAGGTTATTTACTGACTGAGTTACAACTTAAAGAGGGGGTTAAAAACAGTCACTAATAGGTGAGTAGATATTTAGGGAAAATTAAAGCATTACTGAAATGTGTTACTAGTACTTTCGGTTTATTTATCATTTATTTATTAAGTCCCACTAAAATAAGTAAAACAAAATAGACAACCTCATAAATATTAGTAAAAGACAATTTAAAACCTAAATTGTACAGTAAAATTTAAAGGACTTAGATCAACTATCGCAAAATGATCATAGAAACTAACAAGTCGAAATTAGTACCTAGACGCATGCACAGGAATTCCTAACAACACTACAACTGAACCAGAATCATTATATCTTTACCTTCTGACACAAAAAATACCACGATTTATGGAATGAACGATCGTTACTGGACCCAAATATAGTAAGACTCCACCGTAAGTTGGCCTTACAATCACTTTAAATAAATATTACAGATGGCTAACACTTCAATGAACAACATAGTGTAGTGTCAAAGTAGCAATACTTTCAGTTAGCAAACTGTAAGAAAACAATTAATTGTCTTTCGCTTCAGTACCATGAGCAATTTCAAACTTACAAGCATTTAGAGATAAGACTTTGAATTCTATTCCTCCAATTATGCGTTTACTACCCAGAGATTGGCCAAATGGAAGCACGCAAATAACAGTCATGTCAATGGCAACATTGACACGATGTAAGCCATCAATGCAATTGATGGAAAACCGATAAATTAGTTACATCTAGAGGTAGTGCACTCATCAAGACCTATGGTAACTGTGGAACGTTTTTATCAAAGTAACATTCACATTTATTTAGGAAGGAATATATTGACCGACAATGTGATAATAAACCCTGTCACAGGAAATCTTATGAATAAATAGACATTTAATACAATGATCAAGCCAGATATCTACTTTCCAGAAAGTACAATATAACTGGTGAACTATAGGCTGACCTCGATTTCTTTACCTAAACCGATTTTGAAGAAATGCACGGTAATACCAATGACAGAAAAAAACACTAAAGTACTGCTTACTTGACAGAATTACCCCTGATATTAAAGGATTTACGGAAACTAGCAATCGCACGACTAGGGATAGTTGGGATATTTTCTGTCTTCCAATCGACCTTGATGTTATTTCTAAAAACGTACTCCAATTTTTCTTTTAAAATCCGTTCCATTTGATCTTTTTCCTCACTTGTATCAATGCTGCAGAAAGCTCGCTGGACGTACTCTCTATAAAAAAATTTGGAATTAATAAACCAATAAGTGAAAAAACACAGAAATGTAAACCTTTCAATACAATACCAAAAATAATAGAAAAGGACAGTAATTTTATTCACTACCCAATAAAACGGGACATCCAACATAACCCAAGTAATCCGGAAACTAAATACATCAACTTATCACTGGCTGTCTTGCACTAATTTTCTTGGTGAGCTGCTGAATAGCTTAGAACAACAAAGTATGAATGAGCGTCCCGCACACTTGTTTTCCTGTCTATCTGATGAGGCATGCTTACTCATCCGGAATATTACATATCTACTGAAACTCTATCTCTGGGTGAAAACACCCATCAAGCACTTATTCAGAAAAATAAAATGTTAATAAACTTATCTAAGAAATATCTCACGGTAAATTGAGAAACTGATGCCGAACAACCAATTATACCACGGAAAGGCCAATTACTGGCGTTATTAAAAATTCCTAACCGTAAACTTACTTGAGCTCATCGCTCCACTGCTCTTTTGCTCCTTTGTCCTGAAAACTAGCAGGTGGTTGCTGTAACACTTCTTTAGAAATTGGGGTATTCGCAGTATTTTCAATAGCCACTGTGTTTGGAGAATCTAGATAATTAAAGTTAGTCTCAATAGTCACCACGTAAAATAGTACATACAAAGCCAATCATATTTGGTCATTAATATGCTTTTAGGAGCTCTATACATCGAACTTTAGAAAAAGGAACACGCACCCAACTCTTACTTATAACGATGAAAGTTATGTTGGAGAAAGTCGGATCCTATGAGTTATAAATGTGTTCATGCAGTACGGTACAACTTTTCGCAAAAACAGATTGATCAATATGGACCACTCAAAAACTGAGAGTCGATTTTTTAGCAAGTAAATAATCCTGAAATTAAGTGTAGAGTACTGGGGAAGGATCGTGTATCGATTATGGCTGTGAATACTAATCGATTGGACAGAAAGAGCTAAGTGGGATCAACAATCCCCCACCTCGTCGAGTAATGCTGGTTGGTATAGGTGCACGCTGCAAGACTGAGGCCAGCCCAAAACGTTGGGCTGCATGAGTCAGAGTGCGTAGAAGTGAAGCAAGCGCATCTTCCTCTGGATCTTGAGTTTTGATGTTTAGTTTCTGATTCCTCTTAGAGATATTCTCTGTTTACTCTTCCTAATCATAACTAATATCGCCATTATTGAAATCCTCTCATTTACTTTTCGATTGTCGTTCTCATATTGTGTGACAATTTGGGCTCCATTTCGATTATATCTGACTGACTCCCCGACTATAGATAATTATATCAACCTTTTTGAACACAAAATCCGAACCTATAATGTAATCTTTGTATAGTAGATTTACTGTCCTAAATATACATCAGGTATGTATACGTGTTTCTGAAGGTAATTGACCAGTATATTTACCTAAAAGAAACCGTCATCCTGAAGTGGACATTCACAATGACTACCAGGACGAAACCTTAAACACAAAGTAGTACAGATGGTGGTTGGAGGTAGTCAACAGGAAACCCTGGACCCGGGTTTCGTGCTACTTGGCACTCGTCAGCAAGGTGTACCTGTAATCTTGAGGGAAATGGTGCTCCCTGGCCGATTCGATCCCGTGTCACCCAGCTTCACAGTCAGAGACGTTACCACTGAGCTATCCGGGCTGCGACTGACCTCCTGTAGGACTGAGATGTAATCACAATTGATTGATCACTGGGTGATGATTAATGTCGTGTGTGTCAAGTCCTTATGCAGTGCAGATGGAATGCTATCGACCATTTTGCAACGTGGCCACCAGCTCAGTGGTAACGTCTCTGACTGTGAAGCTGGGTGACACGGGATCGAATCGGCCAGGGAGCACCATTTCCCTCAAGATTACAGGTACACCTTGCTGACGAGTGCCAAGTAGCACGAAACCCGGGTCCAGGGTTTCCTGTTGACTACCTCCAACCACCATCAAATCTCAACACAGTGCCCGCAGTGTCGAGTCGATTAGACTGGTGGCCACATTGCAACTTGGTCGATAGCATTCGATCTGCACTAAACAAGAACTTGACACACATGACATTGATCACCACCCAGTGATCAATCAATTGTGACAAAATAGTACATCCCAGTAACCACCCAATGGCCAATATATTGATGTGGTTTACCTCCATTAGTCTGGAGCCTCCTAGCTGCTTAGACCGAGGTAGATTGAGTTAATATTAAATTCTAACCCATGAACAATAACGTGAATCAGAGATTAAGCAGATAATTGTGTGCTTAGATGAGAAAAACTGGCATCACGAGAGTTAGCATACCGAAGTAGGTGGGGGAGCTTTAAATTGTAACTTGATGGTTGAAGGATGAGAGTTTTGACCACTGAACCATTTTAATCTGAGGGTTAAGAACTCGATAACTTAACAAAAATCAGCCTACCCCGATATACAATAAATCGAGTATACAGTAATGTTTGAACCGTACATAAATACGTATTTCTTACCTAAAGTACTCTGGAATGGAAACCGTGGACCCGTCACTGCCAAACCATTGGAATGAACAGATGGTCTTCCGTCAGGCCACATACCAAACGACTGAACCGCACCTCCATTAACTGGATAACCATAAGTAGGTCTAGCTGCGTTCCAGTTACACCCTAACTGACTTCGCATATGCAACGGGAACTGTGGAGAACCATATGAAGGATACGAAACGTTTGGCATCATAGGCCTCTGTGGACTTGGGTCGAACATGACCGGTTGACGGGATGGGAGCGCAGGTGAATAATTATAAGCACAAGAGAAGTTTTGAGAATGAAATGGAGTCGAAGTACACCACGATGTGTCATAAGTTGCTGAAATGGAGCTTGTCATTGTAACAGTCCCATCCATCTTGGGAGCAGTAGATTCTACTCCGGGTGGGGGAGGTGTGGAAGGTTTTTCTTGAACTGATGAAACTGGAATGGTTTGATGATTATAATCATATGTCTACAGTGGTGAGTGGGTAATGAAATAACTTACCTGAGCAGGTTGTGTATAATCATAATATCCTGGACAAGCACCTTGCCAGTAAGAACCGTATGAGCCCCACTGAGCCATTGATGTTTTCTATATAAGTTTTCCCAAGAAACAAAATTAGTTCCAAGAAATGGAAACACGGCTTGAAAGTCTTACGTTTTATATACACTTATTTAAATAAACTTTAAATTTAATCTAAAACGAGTAACTGGTTCGGACGATCATTCAATTGGGTCAAATGGTCACTAGCTGAATCTAATTGTTTGCCAACTTCTGGTAGATGACGTTACTTTTTATCCAGAAAGCATTTGTTCACAATTATACCCAACCCCTGATGAACTGAGTTCTTGAACTGATTCATACTATTAACTAGGGTATCCTCTACTTCCTAATTTCAACATCACTACGTTCTACCGTTTCATTTGTTAGCTTTTCTGGATGTACTCAAGTGTGATGTGGATTTAATCAGTTTACGCCTAAATTTCAGCAAAACATATTTTAGTGAAGATTGTCCAAACTCTGCTTACATGTAACCCCTACAAATGATAAAACTCCCTAAGTCGCTTAAAGAGAGGACAGAAAAATGCTCAAGCCATTAATCAAATGGACGAGCTCCAACCATAAAATCGTTTTACACATCGTCCCTGCAGTGACGCTGTTCACATGGTTGCACTTAACGATTAATTTGAGTAGATTTATTTTTACTACATGGGCATTAAACGGACGGAGTGACTACCAACATGGTGTTAGCGCCGTATAGTCGACAGAAAATGAAAACTACATCCCCAAGAAAGTATTTACTTAGGAAGTACGATAGCTGCTAGCTATTTATTGAAAACTATTATTTTATCATACTAAAAACTGCTTCGAAGTACATTATGTTGCTCATTAGGGATTTCAAAAGTATACCAGACGACAAGATTTACTAACAGTGACCTCTACAATGTTAACTACCAATACTAAGCCTGAATTACACAACACGCGAAAACATTATTTCGTCCGTTAATTTCCACCAACCATACATATACAAGCTTTGCACAACACAAAGTCTGAAATATTACATGATCAGTGGAAGAAAAATAGGAGTCATTTGAGGTTTGCCTCAAAATCAGCAATACCAGCTAACCATACCAGTCATAAAGATGAAACAAATAAACGTTGCCTTAGTCTACTACCTGATTGTTCGTCCTATGTACCAAAAACAGAACTTGTTTTAACAAGATTCTAAGAGACTTTGAAACGAAAGTTCATATGCAGCTATAATAAATTCCGTTTAACTAGAGAACTGAATCCTAGATGCAGAATAAAGTGGTCCATAAGTGCTTTCTACTAGGGTTTACTACATTTGTTATTATGTTGACTCCCTACAATCAACATGTCCCTAACCCCTCTTTATGAAAAAAGTGTTCTTAGCACAAATTTAAAACTCCCATCAGGTTACTAAACGAAGAAAAATGAAGTTACTAACCAGTAAGAACACACTAACTTCGACCGAGTCTCTAACTAACCCGGGGAGAAACCGAAACCGAAACAAGTCACACAGTCTACTCAAACAACCGCTTGATCTAACGTCATAATTTGTATTTAGTCTGTCTCAATTTATTTGGCATTCTCCGGGTGTAGTCCATTGGTATACAAGATAATGCTCTTACTGGGAATAGATCATGGAAGGTGAATGCATGGTGATTTATCAAGACACAGTGCTTGTCAACACGTTAGTCTTCAGTCTTCAGTAATAAGGATAGTAGGTTGGTGAACCTGTATTAATCCTGACACATTACTTTCCAGTGAAGGTCCAGCTTCTCCTTGAAAGTAATCACTGATGGAGCTGATACCACTTGTTTGGGTAAGGCGTCCCAATCATTGACTACTCGATGAGAAAAACGGGACCCCACTTTAAGTTTATTAGATCGTGGTTTATGAACCTTCTTGCTTTGACCTCGGAGATTACTAGTGCTAGAGAGAGCAAAAAGATAAGACATTAACACCCAAACCATAATTAAACATACGAAATGCCAGTATAAGTTCACCTCGTGTCCTACGATACAACAAGGGGAAAAGATTTAGGCGTTTTAAACGCTCATCGTAAGGGAGTCTAGAAGGACCCTTCACTAATTTCGTTCCTCCACGCTGTACACGCTCAAGGGAGTTAGTATCCTTTACCAGACACGGGCTAGGTGCTTGGATACAGTACTCTTAATGTGGTCTTACATATATGGGGTATAAAATTCGAAACGTTTCCTCGTCAAAAGATTTGAACGCTCGGCGAAGTGATCATAACGCACGAAGACCTTTGACAGCAGCTGCTTTGAAATGCGTATTTGTTTTTAAATCATGACTTAATACTATTCCTAAGTCTTCATGTTCTTGAGCACATGGAAGAGGTTTACCCTCGATAGTATAACAGTAACTATCACCGTGACCAACGTGTATTAGCACACTCTTCCTAGCAGTGATTTCTAAGCCCCATTCTCAAGCCCATCTAACTAAATCGTCTAAGTTAGCTTGAAGATCCAGATGATCAGCCTCAATTTTTATTGTTCTCCAGATTTTTACATCATCCGCAAACAACAATATCGACGACCTAAGCAACAGCGGTAACTCATTAACGTAGAGAAGGAAGATCAGAGGGTCTAAAATGGTGCCTTTGTGTACACCACTTTTGACTGACTTCCAATCGGATAGCGCTCCGTTGACCCTCACTCACTGTCTGCGGTCTCCTAAGAAGTTTCCCATCCGCTCCTGTACAGTACATATTCCGAATCTCGTGAGCTTCTACATAAGACCTACGTGTGAAACCTTGTCAAATGCTTTGTTAAAATCTATGAATATCACATCGACAGACAGGCCTTTATCTAAGGCTGCTGTCCAAGCCTCTCTCGCAATAAGTTAGTCAAGTATGAACGCTTATTACAAGACCCGTGTTGCTGAGGAGCTAACAGATTGTGTGAATCTATGTGGCTTAGCAACCTAACCCTAATTATCTTTTCAAGTAACTAACAGGCCGGTAGTTAGATACTATATGTCTCTGACAGTCCTTGAATATAGGACTGACTATAGCGTCTTCCCAATCTCTAGGGAGTTGAGCGAGTGAAAGGGACATATTAGAAAGTGTAGCGAGCAGTTTTTAAATAATGTCCTCAAGAGATGACAACAACCGTGGATGTAACCCGTCAGAGCCCGGTATCTTACCAGGTTTGATGTTAGTTATCAACGTAAGGACAGTTTCCTCAGTCACCAGTACAGATTCAATGGTTGGTATCTCGGTGTGAGTGGGACAAGTATTTGTTACAAAAGACGTAGAGTAGACTTCGCTAAAATAGTTCGAAAAAGTCTCAGCTTTTGCTCGATCTGATTGAGCTAGTAAACCTGAATTTTCGTGTAACAGTAACGAAGGAATACTATCACTACGTTTCATTCACCGTTTAACATACGAAAACAATCTCTTTTCGGACAAGTATGGCTATCATATACTAACTGTCGTTCGTAAGTGGTACGGGATTTGGCTATGGTTTTCTTACACATATTACGGAATTTTCGGTACACACGCTTAAGTGGTTCATGACCTGTCAACAAGAATAAGTCCCAGAAATGTTTCCTACGCTTTAAGAGCTTCCGGGTTTCCTTATTAATCCATGGAGGGCAATGTGATAGCTTACATGCTGACCATGGGATAAACGGCGACGTTACGGACTCGGATGTAGCCTTAAACTTATTCCATTCGTCTTCGATCAATCCATCCGCGTCGACCAATCAATCAGTCGAGATAGCACATTATGTTTGTGATATATAGCTGACGGTTATATTTACTCGAATGCGATTGCAAGTAAAGCGCTCCAGCGAGGGAGTTCCCTGGAAAAATAATCGTAACAGGAGATTTGAGGCTGGAAAAAATGCAGGGATTGATGGAAAACCTGGGGAACTTACCGTAGGTATTGTGATACGTTTGATGAAATCAAGAAAATCTTACCCTCTACATTACTGTTGACTCATTATAACCCTAAATGGGAAATTATCATTGATGCTAATGCTTCTAATTATGGTGTTGGTGTTTTTACTAGCTATCGTATTCCAGATGGTAAGGAAAAATCTATGAATTATGCGACAGAACGAAAGTATAGTCAAATAGGAAAAGATGGGCTAGCTTTGCTTTTCACGACCAAGGAATTTCATAGAATGATTTATTGGCGTCTATTCGCATCGTTCACAGACCACAAATCCCTTCTTTCTATTTGTGCGTCGAAGTCCGGTATACTGGCGTATACTGCTAATCGTCCGCAACGTTTGATGGTCATTTTACTCACTTATGATTTGAAAATAAAATACAAGTCTGGAAACGAAGACACTGTCATTGACCACCGTATCTCTGGAGGAAGATATTATTCAGATACTACAAACTACAATACAAACAACACCCGTGTCAGAAAGTGATATTAAGTGTGCAACTATAACAGTCTGCGAGCCTTCAAGCATCATTTGTCGTCTCTAATTTGTTGGCTCTCACTGTTAAATGCTAGTAAAGCACATAGTCAAGTTCTGACACAGTTTCACTCTACGCATCCACGTATCGTTTGAAAAAAGCATCGGCTAGGAGTTATGCATATTGGTTAAACATTGATGGAGAAGTCGAAGCTTCTGTGGTAAGGTGCTCCAAATAAGCCCAAGCTTCGAAAGCCTCTCGGAGGACTGAACTTTGCCGCTGGTAAAACAGGACACACTTGTAGTGTGGTGTCGAGTCGAGGTTGACTGTGATCACCACTACAAGACGAGCGCGCACCGGAAAATCAGAAGGCGGAAGGAGATTGTAACGAGATTTATTCGTTGGCGATCTCGTGTTATCAAAAGTATGCCAAGATCGTGCCAAAGGAAATACAAGTGGAATCAATGGGAGAACGTGCGAGCGTACAAGGTCACAGTCAACGGAAGAATAATGGAGGAGTAATGGATGTCTTTAGTATAGTTGAACAAACGAGAACAGTAAAGTAATCACTGGTACAATGGGTTATAATAATGATTGTTTCCATTAAACCAATCACGTTCTTTTTATAAAAGTAGGTCACTACACACTCGTGCTCGAGAAAGCATGCAGATTTTGCCAGGCTCGTTAAAAGGAAATATTTGTTAATCACCATTGACACCCTTCTTATATAACCGATAGTACATCAACCATCATGACATTGGATAAACTACTTCAAATATTTGACCGTCTCGAGTTTCCGTAAGTGATAGTCTCCAGAAATGGTCCGTAGTTTCTATCATTAGGACTTCATCGTTTCTGCACTCTGAACGGCATTAAACGTGCCAAGAATTCTTCATACTACCCGCGGCCAAATAGGCAGGCTGAAGGGTTAATCGCCAATTTCAAGAGAATATTGAGAAAAGCACAAGGAAAGGGAAAATTAGAGGAATTAGTACCAATTTTCTTGCTTGTATACTGTGCGGTACTAAGTTCTGGGACGATTGACGCGCTTTTTTGGACAGAAGTAACTTTCAGAAAAGAAACTAAAACACCGCTGAAAAATATGAAGCCCTTCTTAAAAATATCCCGACAGATCAGGAGAAAATGAACTAGGATCAAAATGAACCCTAATGACAGGTCTATTAATGGTCTTTTAAAAAAAGGGAAGTGCTGTAGGAAACGATTCATCCATAGGGCAAAATCCTTGGAGTCTATTTTTCTACAATTTTATTTATACATGTTGATTACATGTTCATTAAGTATTTTGGTCTTATTATTTCCCTATTGACATAGTTCTAAGCTTTTATTAAACCGTAACTTCTTACTACAGTATTTTCCACTCATAAACTAGAACTAATTGTTCACGTACCCAGTTTTCTGTTTTCTCATCACTAATCATGTTCTTCCACGTTAAAACTGTTACCCAAATGACCTGATGTGTGGTCTGGTCTTGTATGTATGTAAATGATTGTCTAAAATACAATAATGGTAATAAACTAGTAAACGTTGGTCTTGCATTCTTCTTTTTTGTTTGTGGCTGCTTAATGTTTTGCCAACTGTCACGCAAAACGTATTAGTCTTTCAAATCCTCACTGATTATTGGTTGGTTATGGTTGTCTATTCGTATTTGTTGGTTGTAGGACGTAACAGTTATAGGGTTTAGAAACATAACTAGCAAATACTCTATGAATAACTTACTTGTTGAAGTCATTATTGTGAAGAACTGCGTACGTGAGTGTGTAGAACTGCGGTCTATTTCAATATTATCACTACCACAACGGCACACCAAACCCCAAAATTGTAGATATGTTATGACGTGAAAACCTAATCTATAAGATCTTACTTACTTACTTACTTTACTTACGCCTGTTACTCTCAATGGAGCATAGGCCGCCGACCAGCATTCTCCAACCCACTCTGTCCTGGGCCTTCTTTTCTAGTTCCATCCAATTCTTGTTCATTTTTCCCATGTCTGTCTCCATTTCCCGGCGTAATGTGTTCTTTGGTCTTCCTCTCCTCCTTTGGCCTTGAGGATTCCATGTGAGGGCTTGTCTCGTGACGCAGTTGGGTGTTTTCCTCA